AAGAGTTATTACTTACTTTAAACTACAAATGCAATTTAAAGTTTCAATTAAACAAATCCGTATAGATTACAACCAATCCTACTATCCAGAAGCTAAAAACTTCCTAATCAAACATCTTTATATTTCAATCCCAACTCAATATGACGATTCACTTTTCTTACAAAACACCACCACCCCTAGTTCTCAAGAAGAAGACAAAGAAACACAAAATAATACTACTTTTACCTCCTCTGAGGAATTTGGAAAAATTCTAAATACTACCTCTTCTACTTCTCAAGATGAAACTAAAGAGCACCCTTTTTAATAAAGTCTTCTACAGATAATACAAAAGCATCTACTACTTCCAAGATCTCAGTAAAGCCACTCTTAGAGGAGAACAAAAACAATAGGCAGATAGTAAAACCTATTGCAAAAAAATCTGTAGAAGACAATTCACATAATACTCCTATTTCAGATGCTCTAACTCACACAGAAACATGCTATAACAAATTTCTAAAACAACATAACTTACCTCCTTTACAAAACTCCACAACACTCTATAACTTTATCAAACACCTATAGAAAAATGCGTTTTTAACTCAATTAAAATATCTGTAAACTTAGAAGGCACAGAAACATATATTTATATTAAGACTTCTGATCCTACCCTACCAAATCACACAGTTATAAACCCATATCAATACAATACCTATGGTCGCTTATCATTACTTACAACTGATAATAATACAAATCCTCTCTCTGCCCTCTACTCATTAGATATTAAAATTAATCTCACTTCAGACAATGAAATGGATCCTCCTCTTATACCATCACCTACATTATCTGAAAACCACTATATAAACCAATCTTCAAATATATCTAACACAACTCTAAACCCCTTTAACCAACCTACCTTCACACTTGAACAAATCAAAATTTGCTCTCTTAATACAAATAGACTGTCTTACTCCAAACAAACTTTACTCTACAACTTCATTACTTAAAATCAAACTAACATCTTCGGTCTCTCTGAAACTCACCTAAGTACCAAAGAAGCAAAACTACTTTCATTAACTCAAAATCTTCCTAACTATACTAATTTATGGAGTGAAACTGACAACTCCAGACAAGGTGGAGTCGGGCTTTTAATACATGAGAACCTTGCTAAATTTATTAGTAAAACACAAGAATACAAAGGCTATATTCTTGCCATAGACTTATTCTTACCAAACCACCCTATTCGTATCATACAATTATACTTTCCTACTAAAGAAAAACAAGCTTTAAAAAAGAAAATATATGAAAAAACACTCCAACTCATCCAAAAAACCAACTATAAAACTATTATAATAGAAGACTTTAATGCAATACCAAACCTCAAAATAGACTGTCTATCACCTAAAAAAACACAAACACCAGAATCTCTACTAATCAAATATCTTAAACCCAACTTTTACAATACCTTCAGACTCTTCTATGCTAATCTTCTTAAATTTATTTGCTACCATAAAGAACATCAAAGCAGAATAGACCAAATCTGGACAAACTTATACATTACTACCTTGGACTATACAAACATTTTTGACACAACTCCTACAGACTCAGATCACAATATCACTTCTCTAGAAATTACTCTATCTGCTACTCTGTTATCAATTCACAAACAACCTAAACAGAAAGTTATTCTTTGGAAACATATAACTACTATACAAATAGAAAATTACCAAAAGCACTTAGATAAAAATCTAAAGACAATTAAAAGTCAAATTACACAAATTCAAAACCAACAAGACCTAGACCAAATCTGGAAAATAATTAACAAATCCTTTAT